GATTCATGTGCTCTTGATTCTCTTGATGCTCCTCATCATGAACCGCATGGTCGTGCGAACTACTTGACCTCGACATAACTCCTCTTCTCTGCTGATTTCGGATGTCTCTCAAGGTACGCTCAATCTCTGGATCGTAGACTAGGTCTTCTCTCCGAGTAGAGCTACGTGTCATGCATTAAAATCCTGCAAATCGCAAAGAAAAAGAAGAACTCGATGCCAAATGAAGCCGCAAAAACCAAAGAAAGAAAAAGAAAAAGAAAAAGAAAAAGTAAACAAACTAAGATCTAGAATCAATAAAGACCTAGAAATAGGCTAACCAGTCCCCGGCAACGGCGCCAAAAACTTGATACGTGTGTACCGAGTCTAGAATTTATACCCGATTCACAACTCACCGCAAGGATACGGATCGTCGTAACACGGGGTCGAACACGAGGACCGGTTGCTAACTCCAAATCTAAATCGAAAAGAGATCAAAGCAAGCAAGCAAGTAATGATGGAAGTGTGTGGGATCTATATGAAACGAAATAAGAAAGCAAGTGAAACGAGTAACCTATCAAACAAGGATGACTACGGGTGTCGGGATCGTATTCGCGTGTATGGGTATTTACTAAGCATGCATGAATAACGATTATGACTTGTATTCGGGAATCATCAAGCAACAAAGATGGAGAATTCACCTCTCGGTCTACTAACTCCCTACCTACAGAGTAACTCGTCAATCTCTCGATCTATTCAAGTTAACCCTAGATGCATGAAGAACGCTATCATCAACCCTAGATCGATTAAGCCATATCTCTATGTGAATAATACGATCTATCCTATTGATTTTGATCCGAAACAAACCCATATCTCTATGTGGTTCAGAATCCAAGATAATTGATCAAAGGGTTAGCAAACATCAATCCAATAAAAGTGCAAATCAATAGAACCGAATCAAATCAAAACCGAAATCCAAGGTAGGGTTCAAACATACCCAAAACACAAACGAATCCCTAACCCACAGCCGTGGATCTACTCACGGTTCATAGAAAACAACAAAAAGCTCATAAAGAAAGAGGTAAAAGAGAGGAAAGAAAATCTCATGTCGATGCCTAGTCTTCACGATCGAATCCTCCTTCTTCTTCCCGAAATCCCGTGAACTTCTATTCTTCTCTCACCAAAAGCTCTCCAAAAGTGTGTATCTAAGTGTTCTCTGAGGTTCTCCCCTGTTCTAGGACGTGGCTAGGGCTTTTTTATAACCCTAGGGCGGCTCCCAAGAGTCCTATTCCCATTCAGATGCTGAAAATCGCGAAACAAGGTTTTAGACTGGATCCGGACCGATTCCAGGTGGATCCGGACCGGATCCAGATTCCTAGGGTCAAATTCTGCGTCCTTGATCCGGACCGGATCCAGTTGGATCCGGCCCTGCGCTGGCAGTTTTCTGGTCTTCACGAATTCGCTCATAACTCTCTGCTCCGGTGTCGGATTTACGCGATTTTGGTGTCCACGTGAAGCTCTTGAAGTGATCTTTCCAATGGTATAAGTCTCGCACGATTTGGACCTCTGTAGAGAAAGTTATTGATGTCGCAACATGCGCATCTCATCCGTACTTCTCCTTTAACGTTCCAATTAGCTCCTTTTCGAGTCCAATCATCTTCGAAACCTGTAACTCTGCAAAACTAGAGCACAACCGGGTTTTGTATCCTAACACGCCTAGAATGTCTATGAATGCATGTGATTATCCTGTAAAACCTAGACAAACTCTCATCAAAATATAGAGAAGAATAGGAGTTATCAGGATGGAAACTTGGGGTCTGATTCACCCCATATGTAAATGTATTCAGAGTTATGGTCATGAAAATAGAAGCTACCTTTCATCTCAGTAGAGACGTTAGACAAAAGAATCGAGTAGACAAAACAAAGGAAGCCAAGGGAGGCCTCTTCAAACATAGAGGCTTGTAGTGGATCATGTTTCGTTGGCACATGGCTTAGGGCGAGGCTGTCTAAACCTGAACGGCTAATGGTCGTCACCATGCTCATTTGGGAAAACCCAATATGAATTTTTTCTTCTTAAAAAAAAAAAAAGTGGAGGTATAACGAAGTGGAGTGAAAAAGAAAGAGACTAGGAGGGCGGAGGAGAGGGAGGGGCGAAGCCGAGACGCAAGGCAGCAGACCAGACGATATCGATGCGGTCAACGTCAATGGCGCCCACCTCATGATGATCCCAACCCTCCAGCATGTGAACCACTCCTCCTGCGTGGCAAGCGTGAACCACTCCTCTCTCCATCGTGTACTGTCCATACAACATGAATCTTTGATGAACATTAACACAGTCTCGCTGTCTTAAAGGATGGACAGAGAGAGAGGGTAGTACCTCGCAGGTGCCAAGGCCATTGACATCAGGGGGAAGCCTCATGGCAGCAAGATCTCCATAGGAACAGTTCTTCCTGAACCTGAGGATAGGAGGCACCACAAACTGATGGAAATGCGTTCCCTTTGGCGCCCACCTCTGTTCCCTCGGCGTCAACCATTTCCCCACTATCCACGTCTGCTTTCATCCATTCTCTATATATGATATTGTCCATCTTTCCCAAAAATTTAAAAAAAAAAAAAAAAAGAGTACGAGTCAGGTTGATTTACCTTGCAGTGTTGGGCAGCTTGGTACTTGGTCACTTGTACAAGGTAGTTCTGGTGTCCCACTGCTGCCTCCTTTTGAATCTTCTGAAACCTTTCCGTTGATAGTGTCAACATCTGCCATTTTCATTCCCATTCATGATTATTTTTTTTTCTGGACTATTATTAGCCTTTCACTAGGAGTAAGGAACACTTACAAGAACTCGAACTCTCCTGCGACAGAGGTAAAGAGCAATGGCTCTTCCGAGTTTAGAAGTGGCCCCTGTCAGGAACACCTCTTCTACATCTTTTGGGACTTCGTTGAGAATGACAGCTGCCGTTAACGTGTTTCCATGCACCACCCTAACCCTCAGGTTCGGATGCTTGTTTACAAACAGCGTTCCTCCTCCATTCAAAGCCTCGTTCTGCTCTTATACCAAAAGGGAGAAAAAAAGTCTTGGGTTTTGTAAAATAAATAGATGCCAATGGCGGCATTCTCACAACATCTGCTGCAACCCTCCAATCCAAGTAAACATATGACTTTTGGTTACCAACCTTATTGAGCGCAGCTAAGCTAATAACTTTGACACCAAGTCTGTCAGCCCTCAGAATAGCATCTTCGATCTGGTCGTTAATGCCTTGAGTTGCAAATGGCAAAAAGTACTGCAAGAAACCAACATCATGATGTTAAAAGCATTTGTTCCGTCCAAAAAAATGTAAAAAAATTGTAAGGAGGCGGTACTTGGAAGCCGAATCTGGGGACGACCCAGGTCTGGCAAAGCTTGTCCCTGAGGTTGTAGAACAAGACCAGGAATGCAGCATTACCAGAAACGTCCCTGGCCACATCGGCAACAAGAAAATCCTGAATGTGTAAGGCAGTGAACTGAATGATCTGAACACAAACGGCGAGTGCATTGCTGATGACACGTCCACAACGTGGGCCAGGAACACGAAATCCGGCACCCTCTTGTTCTCCTCTGCAACCATGTGGATCGACCAGTTGTCAACTTGTTTGCACCGAAACCACAGTTTTCTATAAATGGCATGTTCAAAAACTCTTTTTTTTTTTTTTTAACTTATGTATAATAGCTTCCTTAATTTTGCACAAATTATACATACACATGTCAGAACAATATCATGTTTCGACTTGAAAACAAAAGATATCACAACTTGTATACAACAGGATTTATTCAGTCTACCGCTTCCCATAGTTGAAGTTGTAATAGGATCACCACACATCGTTGGCATTGGTTTATCAGTAGGCTGTTTCGAGCTTTTTTTTCTTCAATCAAAACAATTATGAGATTTCTACTACTTGTGTTAAAAAAAAAAAAAGGTTACCTGGACCCGAACTGAATTTCCGGTGGAGTTCCCACGAGCCGGGGTTTAATGTGTTTCCCAGAGCGTCGAAGAGAGGCATAAAGAGGCAGAAGTTGGTCTTCATGTATCTGTGATGCAGACTATGGTACCTGCACACACCAACACCAACCACCATTTTTTAAACCGTTCAAATCACAGTAAAAAAAGGAAAAAGTTAACTTTTTTTTTTTCTAATCATTCTCAAAAGGCAGATAAAATCTTCCCCCTTCCGCTTAAGGCATAGAAACAGCTCAGACTTCCACATGTGGGCAACTTTAACTTCTCAATAAAAACATGAAGCTCACATGTTTCAGTCAGTTCTACTTCAGTCAAGAAAGGGCAAGTAGTCTAATGAATAGAAATTAAGATGTAAAAAAAATGTAGATACCGGTTCACCTAATTTTGGAAACCTTATATCTACCGCATTAATTGCGCCAAAGGCTAATCAAACACATGGCCAAATTTAACTAATGAAAAAAGTTAGCTTACGTTGGCGTGTAGAGGAGATATCTGAGGAAAGGGAAGGTATCAAACATGTTGTGTGAGACGATCTCGACATTGCAATGCCCCAAACATCTCAAGAAATCAAACACAAGAACATGTCCGTAGAACAAGCTCGTCGATCCAACCCCCAACCAGCAAGAGCCAATCAAAGGAACTCCTATTACCATACAGAGGATAAGATGTTCCAAGAACGTTGCATTTCCAGCTGCACAACCAAACGGGACACAGCCCCGCAAACCCCATTAGCTATTATTATATGTCAACTTTATATAACTCTGTTCTGCCATATCAAACTTCATGTGATACCTGTCATGGGGTGTGGAACTGGAGAAGAGTGGTGATGCAAGTGGTAATGAGTGAAGAGGCGGTTGTATCCATGTAAGCATCTATGAGCAATGTAGTATAATGGCTCTGAAATTGTCACATGGAAGACAATTAACGCAATAATGCCTCTTGGATTCCAGAGGGGAAGGCTGTTCACCAATGGAGACATGTAACAGACCATGCTTGCTATTATGGCTTGGAGAAGTATGAAATTGTCCCTGAAAAACATCACCAAAAAACAGATTGTCAAGAAAGAGGAAAGAAAAACTTTTATATGTTTCAGGATAATTAAGACAGACCCACAAGCTTACAAGTTGCATCGAGCGCGAGTCCCTACCCAGAAAAAGGAAACAACTTTGATGCTAGAAAGATCATATTCACAATTTTCTTTTCATACAAGTTACCACGCCGTACCCGGGAACCACAGATCAAGAGAAGAAAATTAAGAAATGCACGAAACAGAGAGAGGAAAATAAAAGCTTCGATGTTATCGATGAACACCCACAACTTTGCAATCGAGTAATATTCAGACTTGGAAAGAATGAAAATCGAGAAGGGAACTGAATGAAAATACCAGTTCCATTCGTGATCAATCTGGTTGAAGTCGACACCTTGTGGATTGATACGGCGAGTCCGAGTCAAGAACAACATGTGGGCGAAAGAGCTCCATAAGACATGAACAAGACCTCTAAGCGCAGAGAGGATCAGAATATGCAGACAGAGAGTGGCCCTTGTGTTCTCTTCCTCATGAACCCTCGAATAGATCACTTGTGCTGCTAACGGACCGTACAGTAGATACTTCATGAAAACCCCAGAAGAAGAAAAAAAAAGGAGAAATTTAAGTCATCACGAGATCATAAACTGAAAGCAGATTGCTTGTCCGAAAGATTATAGATTTGGAAGCAAAAAGCACAAACCTTGAGATTGCCGAGGTTTTCCCAAGGCCAAGCCGATAAAGCCGCAACCATTTTCCGTTCTCTCTCTTTTACGGGGATTTGAAATTCTTATTCCTTGTCGAAGAATCCGAGTCACCCGTGGTTAAAGATTTCTTTTCTTGGAGACAGGAGCAATAATTTTAGCCTGTTGAGTGTTGAGAAAACCTCAGGTGGAGGAGGAGGGTCTCTCACTTGGTCAAAAGGAGAAGACGAGCTCCCAAGAGAGGGTCGGAATTTATTAGTGTGGAAGAAGAAACCAAAACCAGAAAGCTAACGAAGCCTTTTTCCTCCTTCTGGGTTATGTATAAAAAGGAGTGTGCCGTTTTGAGAGAGGCCCCTAAATCTCCGCTTACTTGTACAAGCAACGAAGATACACACCCCCACCTGCTCTTTTAATTGGGTTGCCGTTCCTAAATTTCCCAATGTTTTTTTGTAAAAATAAAAAAAAATATCGAATGAAACAACCATAATTGTCAAGAAAGGAGCATTTTAATATACACCACAAAATATAACGTATTAAATTCTCTTTTTAAAATTTGAAAAGACCACGTTACCCGATTCCAACTTAATTTATTCACACAAAAAAAAAATCAGTTTTTGTGGTGTATCTGTGAAATATATGAGACCCAAATAGATCATTTGAGTAAAATGTCGAGGAGGAAAGAGTGATTGTAAATATAATATTTAGGGTTAGGGGGGGTTGTCATGGGAGAGAGGGAGGGGGTGCGTCTCAATCGAAGCAGAAAGGAACAGCTGTGAGTCTCGTTCGTAATAAATGGTCAGTTTATGGTTGGAGAAGCCAAGGATGTTGCGTATGGGTCCTCCTCCTCCTCTCTTTTACAGTATTATCTCCAATCTCTCACTTCAATATTTCGTTGAACAACATACGTACAAGTTGCAGTACTACTCAACTCAACCATCTATACATACATATATATATATATATAACCCCACACTATCAATCTACTCACAGATCCAATTTTGATAACGACTGTCGTTTGGGTTTTTTTTCCAACTGTCCCATGCGTTATTATCTTTTTCCTAATTCGTTTTCTCAGCATGATTGCATTCTATTATTAACATTTTAGTTGATTCATGCCAAATGTTTCCTTCCATCTGTATGTATATGTTTATATATATAGATATCTCATTACTTTAAGGAACTAACTATGAGAATAGTACATTAAGTGTAACATTGGCACGTTATTGCAAAAACAAAACATGGGTTATAATTCGTAGAAGCATTAAAGAAATGGTGCCCCAAGTTTGTATAAATACGGTAAGAAATACGCAACCAAGATAGGAATGCAACAGCCTCATCTCCGTTGTCGTTATTTATTTCCTCCTCTAATATAATAAATGTCGTATGACGTAGAGAAGATTAGCATGTGACTTTGTACAATAATATGTCGATGCGCTTCCAACCTTTTTCTCATCTTCTAATTTTCCATCACCATTAAAGGATCAAATACATTTTTGCCAAAAAAATAAAAATCAATGTTATATATATATATATATATGCCCTGCACACACACATTGAATTTTTAACCTGCTTTTGATTGGCACGAAAAGTATGGGGCTATTTTTTTCAATTATATCTCTCATGCAACGCCGCGTAATGCAGCTGCATTTTGCGGTTAGGATTATGATGGAGATATCAACCTGGTCCACTTGGGATCACCTAAAAATTCCACCTGGCATTGTTTCCACGTCACCATTCACAAGCTATACGCAATGAATCTGTCTGTGTCCTTGCATGTGTCCACATGTGCATGTGACGTCCACATGTGCATGCGTCACTTGCGTCCCCATCCCCATCCACATCCACATCCACATCCACATCCACACTCGTCAGTCGTCCTTATTAAAGATGACGACAAGTTCACGAGTCCTTCTATAAACGTTATATTCACTCACGTCTATACCCTGCCAAAATTTTAAAGATAAAAAAAAGATCGGCTAAAGCTTGAGTTATGAAGAAAGTCGGGTGAAGGGGTTCTGGTTTGGGTCTGAGGCTAAATCCCCTACTTCCTCACATTTAAAAAAAAAAAAAAAAAATCAAATTCTGCTCCTCTTTTACAATTCCAGCAATGTAAACATAATTGATGTCGTGACTCGAAAATGACACGAGCAAAAGACACTGATGTGAACTACGTCCATGTATAAGATTAATTATCCTGCTCCTTTTTTTTTTTTTTTGGGATTAATTAATGTCACATAATTCTTCCGTCTTACATTTAATTCAATAAATAATTGACATTAATTTGAGGGTTCCTACGGTATGTCAAGTGGATTGAAAGAGATGAAAAATCAGGCCACGCAATTGTCACTTTTGGTGTGAGCCCACCATACACGTCGATTATATAAACATAAGCCCAAATACAATAAGGGGGGAAAATTTTCTGGATTCAAGAACTCGATATTTTATAAAAATAATTTGGTATCTTATCATCATATAAACTAAACTAAAAGAAACGGTGTTTTATGTGAACAGGGAAGGGGACTTCAACTTCAAGGTTACAACAGTGAAGGGAAATTCATGAAATTAATAACACCTTCAATTATCTTATTCTTCTTTGGTCAACTTTCACAGGTCATGATCCTTATCGTATACTCAAGAAAACAAACCGACTTATTTTATCAGAATATGTCCAAGCGGAACTATACCAAGGTTCCGATCACAGATACGAACACTTTTGCTACATATATATATATATATATATAGTGGCATGATCACTATTTTACGGTTGTGGGTCAACCTCATGCTCACTCTCTCCAATTCGAACCTTGAAAAAATACATCTCCTGTTAGTCATTGTAATTTATTTTTTGTATAATTTTGATAGCTACAGCTTGGTCATCATGTCCCTGCATATTCCGCAAATTGTTTGTCCGAAAATATTATATCAATCACATTTTGTAGTAAAGTAAAGATTACACATAGCACATCCGTTTTATTATTCGTAGAAACGGGGAGATACAAAGTACATATGTCTGAGATGAAGGAGCACTCAAATACACACAGACCGAAACCATTTTTTTTATAATCCGGAAGTTCACCAGATTTTTGGCTCAACTACATCTTTTCGGTGAAATCCAGATGAATGCCCTATGTTTGGGGCAAGAGTATGTTTTACATGTTCTCTTACCATTGGGTCAACCAAACTGGGTAACCTTACTTGAAAAATATATAAAGTTTTTTTGAAGATTTCATAAATTTTTACATTAGAGAGACAAGGAGTTGCGTTCGTTCTTAGACTCCATAAATATCAGCGAGCTTTCGGAGGAGAGAAACCTGAGCCTTGAGTCGGAGGAGATGCTGAATTGACTTCAGGAACAAAGTTTCTTCATCGGCTTCTCGGCAGCCAGGGACTATCCTGCGCAGTACTCCCATCTTTCTTCTCATCGACGGCCTCCTTCTCTTCCGGCGGTTCCTCTTCCGCATCTTCATTTCCTCGTGGGTTTTCAATTTCGTACACACACCACCATGGCCGATATTTATAACAAATGAAAGAAAAGAGAGAGTACATGCACGACTGTACGCTTAGGTGTTTGGAACAGGGTGACATGCATCTCCTTTGACGGGGACCACGCGAGGGGCAGGAACTGTTAACATTTCAACACACTTTAGCTTTAGATTACATCTCTAAGATATATGGTTTTAATTTGAATTCGGCGCATGCTGTAAAATTCAGTCAACATAGTTATAGCCATCCCATATTCTCATCTGGGAAACTTTATATATATATACACAATGGATAAGCCTGCAGGTACCAGGCTGAAGGCATTCAACTTTTTCGAAGCAAATATAAATTATTGTGGCAAGTTTTAATATAATGACATAATAATTCACATGAGAAGATGTGGATTATGTGATCGTACCTTTTTTCCGTATAGTGATTTTACTAATTAATTAATAAAAGGAAAGGAGATGGGGAAGGCATGGAGGAAGAGTGGTGAAACACAAGTTGGGTAGAAGAAGAAGGGGACAGAAACCCCCATAACAAAGGCGAAGCTGTCTCTGCCAACCCATCCGTCTCTACTCTATTGTATTGTCACTTCCTCCTTCCTTCACTTGTGGTCCTCTTCCATCCCCTCTTCTTTGATCTTTTGATCATATATGCCTCCTCCTTCACTTTGTTTGTATAACCCACGCAACTTTTATCATATATATCCTCACCACTTGATATATATATATATGTATAAAATGGGGTAAAGGATGTAGAGAGAGAGACTTGGGAAAAGTTTGGGAAAGTTTCACAAAAGTCAGAGAAATAAACTTCAAGATGAAAGAAAAATGGTTAGCCCAAGAGTGGGTGGCAAAACGTTAAGGTGGAATCACAAACACCAAGCTGGGTAAATCATTACCAAAAAAAAAAACGATGAAAGAAAAATGTGTGTTTTTATGGACGCAAAATTATAAAAGGTCATCTATTACATATCTCTGTTCATACTCTATGCGGGATCATGTATTAGTTTTACGAAATCATCAGTAATGGTTTTGAAAATTTATGAAGAGAAAATAAAAGATTCACGAAGGGTATGGTCTGTCTCGTAAATCGTAATGCGGACGCATGAAACGAGGAAAGGTGCGTGCGGCCACCTTTGGGCTGGGCTTTTAGGCCCATATTAATAAAAGATACTGATTGAGTGGGTGGCAGCCCAAAAATGCTCATATACTCAATTCTCATCGAATCTATCGGCCCATATCCTATAGGCTTGTCTGAACTTCGAGATATGGATACGCTTAGCTTATGGACCATCATCATAGCGTACATAATATGTATTTTTTTTTATTAGCGACGCACGCATACTGATACTTGGAGTGTTAATTTTCTAAATGCCTGAATCTACAAGCGCAAGGATACAAGAAACTGTGGTAAAAGAGAGATGAATGTAGGAAGGAGGCAACAACAGACAACTCAACTCGAGGACACTATCAGATTGAAATGTAAGCAAAAGCTAAGCTATGCTTCCTGTCTTCTGTCGTACAACAGATTTAAGATATGGTTGGTATAAGATGGGGACCCAAATTTGTAAAAGAGGTAAAATAAATATGCCCATAGAACGAAAAGCCCGTTTAGTCGCACGGATCAGATATTCACCGTTATCCTATGCAATTAATAATTCGAACTAAATGACAGAAAGGTGGACCACAGGGGCTGGCCTCTCGCACTCATTACGACTTCGACTATGCTTCGCAGCCCCATGGCAGTGATTAGACGGTCCTCACTCGCTCGCCAGGGAAGAAGAACTGGCGACTTTGTTCTGTCTCCAAACGCTCCAAAAGACGTTCCTCATGGTGAAGGACTGATCTCTTCCATCGGGGAAGCGGAAAGAGAATGCTCGTCTCCCTGAGGAACCGCCCTCTTCCTCGCAATGCGCCATCTCCTTCGCACCCCTTAGCCAGATTTTAGACACAGAGAAGCTCTCCTTCACATCTTCATGTCCGAAAGGGAAGGCCCTTCTTGATTCACCAGAGATGCAGACCGGCCTCTGACATGGGCCTGGTGGCCGCATAGTCTTCTTCATCGTTACATGAACTTGCAATGAAGCCTCTGAAGGCATCACGTACTCGAACGAACCCATTGAAACGCACCTCCTTCCATCCCCATTGTTGCTGCTACTGTTACCTGCCCTACCAACGCCATTGTTAGATTATCATTCACAACTAACTACATGTCCATAATTACCTGTATTGATCGACAGAGGATTTTAATATCTGTAAACGCAACAGCAGGCATTTTGGCCATGATCGTTTTTTATTCTGAAGTGCGTTACCTTCACAGGCATCGATGTTCTTGAACTTGCCAAGCTTCACCGGCACAACTCTCTCCTCTCCCTCAGTCTTACACTCATCATTTCGTCTCGAATGCTCACCGGACCCACGCCCCACGTCGAACCTGGTCGAACCCGGATGCGAGTCCGACCTCCCCATGTTACCGTTCTCAGCCGGGATCTCTCTGGAGCTTTCACTCCCAGACTCCAGAACAAGAACGACTGGGGAACACGAAGTGGCGACATCGACGAGCAAGTTGGCTCTGCAGAGAGGACACGTGGAATGGGTCAAGAGCCACGTGTCTATACAGTCCACGTGAAAGGCGTGGCTGCATTTGGGCAGAAGCCTGAGCTCGTCCTCGGCATCGAATTCGCACAGACAGACGGCGCAATCAAAAGGGTCTTGTTTGCGTCCGATGATGGTTTTGTAATGGAAAATTGGCAAAGCGTCGATGAATGACTGATCGACTCCGGAGTCGTG